AATGGGATGCCCGGCCCATTCCTAGATCTACTGTTCTTCGGGTAGTCCATGAATACTGGCTCATGCCGGTTGCCCCTTGCACCCAGGACTTTTTGTTGGCTAGTTTCCCTTGAGGTGTGCGTAAGACCGAATGTTGTGCTCCAGTGTCGACAAGGAAGTCAACAGGGGTCCCCTCCACTCTAAGAGTTACCCTGGGCTTGGGGAAGGGGTCTGAACCCCGACTCCCCTAATCACTCAGTCCTTCCAGCTCCAAGACTTCCACCCGGTCCATCTTGTTTCCCTTTTTACCGGCCTCCTTTGTGCATTCTCGGACCCAGTGTCCTATCTCTTTGCAGTAAGCACACTGGTTCTGTTGCAGCTTCTTTTTCCCGCCCCGGGTGACCCCCTTACCTCCTTCTTGGTCATCGGCAAGCTGGCAAAGGCGGCGGGTCTGGTCCTCAGGGGACTCCGTGGTGGTGGCTAGCAGAATCTTGGCCAGGTTTTGGGTCTGCTTGTCACTGGCAGCTACCATGGCTCGGGCTTGCCTATCCTCAGGGGACTCCCGGTTGTTATACACTTTCTCGGCCACTTCCAGCAAGTCCCCAAAACTCTTTTCTCATAATCTGTCTATTCTCTGCAGTTTCTTTCTAATGTCTGCGGCTGACTGGTTTCTAAAACTCATGATTACAGCCGCCTTATTCTCAGGAGCTTCTGGATCCATGGGGGTATACGTGCGGTATGCCTCCCTGATCCATTCTAGAAAGGCAGCTGGAGACTCATCCCTTTCCTGCTGTACATTCCCTACCTTGGTCAAATTAGTAGGCTTCCTAGCAGCCATGCGGAGACCCCCCATTAGAGTCTGGCCGTAGACTCAGAGCCTCTCCTTACCTTCTGCCGTGTTGAAGTCCCAGTCATGCCTAGTTAAGGGGAAAGAGAAATCTATCTGGGCCTGGTTGGTGGTTGGGTTCCTGTCTAAGCCGGGAACCACCTTCCGGGCATCATTGAAGATTCTCTCTCTCTCCTCCATGGTGAACAGGACTTGTAAAAGCTGCTGACAGTCATCCCATGTGGGCTGATGGGTGAAAAGAACAGAATCTAACAAGTCAATAAGTCCCTCCAGAGAACTTAGGGTTCTCGGAGAACTTAGGGTTCTGTGCCTTCCAGTTGTAGAGGTCACTAGTGGCAATGGGGTTGATTGCCGTCCGCATCTGGGGGTCCAGCGGCCCGTAAGGGCAGGGTCATGATCGTGGAATCGGGTGCAGCTCCTGCTGAGCTCTCTGCTGGGTGAGAGGCGGGCCTCCTACTGGAGCTGCGGCTGCTCCTGGAACTCTGCCCCTGGCCACTCCCGGAACTCCACCCCAGGCCGCTCCCGGAACTGCATCAGCTTCCCGCTGCAGGGCAGGACCAAATCTCTCCAGCATCCTGGGGAGCTGATACGGGGGAGGAAAAATTAACTCTTCTCCCGTTCCCTCCTGCAAAACCGGGTAGAGGGGAGCTGGAGCTGATTTATGGCAGGTTGGCTTTCTTCTCCTCCTTCTTCTTCTCCACTTCCTGCAAGGCAAGATTGGATTCCGGCTCCAGAGGGTGTGGAGCCAGGAAAGGCTTGAGCCAGGAGGGAGGGTCCTCCACGAGGTCCTGCCAAGTAATAATGTAAGGGAGCTGATCGGGATGACCCCCCTTGGCCAAGAAACGATCTCTCCGACCTGGTGAATGGTGGGGAGGTCGAAAGTCCCCTCCAGTGGCCACCCGGCATTGAGAGCCGGCCACTTGCTGGAACAGAAAGCCTGCCATTGACCCTTCTTCACTTCTACACTGAGGTTGTTAGCCCTTCCTTTAACCTCTTTAAAATGATCAACCATAATGCTTAAAGTAGTAGTTTGAGTCTGTCCCATAACATCCGTCCAGTGAGTCCACAAAATTAGACAAAAGAACACAGAAAACAAACAAACAAAGACACCCAAGAACATCCTTCTGACCCCGTGGAAGAGAAACTGAAAACTGGACTATGGCGGTGTGCCAACCAGCGGGAGTAACCTGCCTCGTCCCAGAGGTTTGAGGGGAACCCACTCCTCTCGTGAGGGGTTTTCACACCCCTCCAGATGGAGGATCAGGGCATCCCCCGACTCCTCCCGCCCGAGGTACTCCAGTGCATCCACCTAGACCGTTTCAGGCACCACAGATTTCAGAAGTGAGCTCGCACAGAACAGGACGACACACAGACACTTACCGAGGTCAGTCAGACTCCCCGGATCGGGGTCCCTTTTGGGTTTTGGGGATCTTGGACGAGGCCCCAAATGTTATGCCCAGAGTTCGGGGTCCCCAATAACCAACCACCAGGGAGCCTTTTCTGATGCAAAAGCAAAGAGTCTTTATTCAAACCCGGGTTTGGCTCCCAGCCTCTTTCTGACTTAGCCACGAGACGAGCAAGAGCGAGCCCCAGGCGAACAAAGGTTATATAGGGCTTGTCATTTGGGTGTGCTTAGGTAAGTGACGTACGTTACAGAGATTGGTCATTTAGGTCAGGGTTTTTTTTTAGCAGGAGTCTGTTTCTGCTTTGTCCTTTCACACCCACGTGGGGAGACAGTGCTGAATTTGAGCCTGGGGCACGAACCCGGTGAGTTTGCTTCCCATGACCAGACCCGGCACCCAAACAAGGAGATTGCGCTGAGTTTGAACCTGAATGTGTGAACTTGGGGAGTTTGTTCCCCACGACCAGACCCCATACCCACACGGGGGCAGCACTGAATTTTAACCTGGGTGCTTGGACACAGGGAGTTTGCTTCCTACAGTGCACACCCACATGACCAGACCCCACACCCACACTGAGCAGCAGTGCCACCTGACTTTGATTCAGGGCAAGCACACATAGAAGGCTGTTTTCCACAGGGCAGGAGTGGGTCTCTTGCCAACACAGTGCAACTGTGCAACCCGATCTCCCAAGCAGATTGGGGACCCTGAATCTCCACGCAAGAGGCAGCAATGAGCACCAGGGACTAGACCAGGGGTGGGCAAACTTTTTGACTCAAGGGTCACAATGGGTTCTTAAACTGGACCGGAGGGCTGGAACAAAAGCATGGATTCTCAATTCAATCACACTAAGAGCTAGAGAGTCCTATTCTTGGCTCATGAGTACTGAGCGACCCTGATTCTTGGTGCAAGATAGCACCAAGCAACATAGACTCTGATACTCGATTCTCGGCGCAGACACAGGGAGCCTCTGACTCCTGACATGCACTAGGAGACTTTGATTTTTGGCATACCCCAGCAGGTTCTCTGTTTCAATGTGGTGCCAGCAGGGTCCCTGATTCTAGGTGCACACACGAGGCCACACTAAGCGTCTGAGACTCTGACCCGGGGTGAGCATGGCTCCCACCAACCCACAGCAGCCACATTTCTTGGTGTCAGAGCTCTTCAGTGACACTTGGGGGGCACAAAACTCCCACTGCGCATGGCCCAGGCCCCTGCAACTTGACATTTGAACATTCTGGTGATAGTCAGAATGGGGAGACAACAAAACAATCCCTAGAGGAAAGAAAATGAGGAGTCGCCAAGAAAGGAAATTAGTGAAATTGAAGCATGCAACATGACACGGCATTAGGAAGGTTGAGAACCACTGTCCTAACTCCTAATCATTCCTTCCCACCAAAGTTAACCACTATCCTGACTTATAACAACTTCATAGATTAGTTTTACTATTTCCTGTCTTTATGAAAATGCAGTCATACAGTATATATTTTTTTTATGCCTGGCTGTGTTTACTCACTATTATGTTTGTAAAATTGAATTATGTTGTCTGCACTTGTAGATTATTTTCATTGCTAGACAGTATTTTGTTGTATCAATATGACATAATTACTTAGCAATTCTTCTGTTGATGAACACTTCTTTCCAGTTTGGGCAAATTAAAGATAATGTTTCTGTATTATGCATTTTTAAAAATACCTTTTTTTAAAAAGTATTGAACTCTTATTGCAAAAATTTTGAGAAAATGTGTAATAGTTTTGCGTAGTTATAGAAATTCAAATGAAGATAAGTAGAACCTCTCATTACCTTGGTTGTGAAAGCAGGAGAAAGTTTATTCATGACTATGCAAAATAGAAAATGATCTGCAGAGGAGATATCTGAAAGTGAAAGTAGAGAGGTAGTTGGAAGGGTAATCACATATAAAGAAATCAACATTTTCCATTTATATATTTGATTGAGATAGCTTAGATGTGCTTTTGTTTCCCATCACTATAGGAAACAATGAAAAATAATATTTAATCAGTGTAGTAAACTACAAGATTGAAGGCAAGGCAACATGGCAATACTTTTAGCTAATAATGGGAATTGACTAGACCAGTGGTTCTGTTTCTTTGTTGTGGGGTGGGGCCACAACATTAGTAACAAGTAAACAGAATTTCCAAAGGATGAGGCCCAGAAATCAGGATTTTACAAAGTTTCCCAGGTGATTTTAATGTACAGGGAAGGTTGGGAACCACTGGACTAGACAATTACTATGTCCTTTGGATTTGTTAGTCAATGATAATCAAAAGATTGTTTCTGCCCTTGGGAAGGTTTAAGGTATCTACATCAGCATTTGGGGGAATTTTAATGGTCAGCAAATATGTCTGGGAAATGGAAAGATCATGACATAGGACTTAGGGAGCAAGGGGACAGTCAGTGTTTTGAAATATCTTATGGTAAACAGGCCATGTTATTCATGGTAAGATGTTTATAATTTTAATATATATAATGAAAATGTTTCCAATCCAGTTTGAAAAAGTAATAATTAAAAATTTCAAGTGGACATTCTCAAACTTTGATTTGCATCCAAATATTCTGATCTTACCATTCTTTTTTATTCCCCCTAACTTTCTTCAAATTACATATTTTAGAGTTTTCTAGCCCATTTACTTCAACAGCTTTCTTTTCTATTTTTTTCTTTTCATCTTTTCCCTATTTTAAAGTTTTTCTTAGCTTATTTATTATATTTTTTAGAATAAGGAAATAGCATGCATTTATATTCTTTTTTTTTTCAGATTTGGAATCCAAAAAGTTATCTCAAAAGGACATTTACGAAATGAATTTATCTCAGTGGGAGATAATGGAAAACATTAGAAGTTGTAGCCTGGAAGACTGCCTTTTCAGAAAAAAATGTGAATATAAAAAGTTTGAGAGACAAAAAGGTCCTCAAATGGGATATTTCAGGCAAGTGAAAAAAAACACCTCTGAAAAAAGGCCTACTTACAGAAAACTCAAATCTCTTACTTCATATCAGAGAATTCATAATAGAGAGAAAACCTATGAATGTGGGGAATGTGGAAAGGCATTTAGAGTACGCCAACAACTTACTTTCCATGAGAGAATTCACACTGGTGAGAAACCCTATGAATGTAAGGAATGTGGAAAGGCCTTTAGACTTCCTTCATCACTTATTCAACATCAGAGAATTCATACTGGTGAGAAGCCCTATGAATGTAAGGAATGTGGAAAGGCCTTTAGAGTTCCTTCATCACTTATTCAACATCAGAGAATTCATACTGGTGAGAAGCCCTATGAATGTAAGGAATGTGGAAAGGCCTTTAGACTTCCTTCATCACTTATTCAACATCAGAGAATTCATACTGGTGAGAAGCCCTATGAATGTAAGGAATGTGGAAAGGCCTTTAGACTTCCTTCATCACTTATTCAACATCAGAGAATTCATACTGGTGAGAAGCCCTATGAATGTAAGGAATGTGGAAAGGCCTTTAGACTTCCTTCATCACTTATTCAACATCAGAGAATTCATACTGGTGAGAAGCCCTATGAATGTAAGGAATGTGGAAAGGCCTTTAGACTTCCTTCATCACTTATTCAACATCAGAGAATTCATACTGGTGAGAAGCCCTATGAATGTAAGGAATGTGAGAAGACATTTAGACTGCTCTCACAACTTACTCAACATCAGAGTATTCATACCGGTGAGAAACCCTACGACTGTAAGGAATGTGGAAAGACCTTTAGACTTCATTCATCACTTATTCAACATCAGAGAATTCATTCTGGAGAGAAACCATACAATTGTAAGGAATGTAAGAAGGCATTTAGACAACACTCACACCTTACTTACCATCAGCGAATTCATAATGTAACTAAATAGTTGTAAGAAAGCTTTCCATTGTGAATTTTGTGTTAAGGAGCATTGGAAACGTTTTTAAATGTAGAGATCTCTTTTACTTCATGCTCACAACTAACTTAAGAGGTTTTATTTTAAAGGAAGAATGTGTTCATGAACATGAAGAAGACATTCATCACCATTTAAATCATGTTAAACTTGAGGAAATTGATTCTAGAATGAAATTCTCTTAAAGGAGTGAATGTGGAAAAGAAATTGATAAAGTAATGTTTTTTAGTAGAGTATTTTGCAACACATGAAGTTAATGGGACTAGACAGGATTCTAAGTAGAGGTTAAAAACATTAGATGAAAGATTGATAGGAACTTGATTGTGACTAGGTCAGCTTGACAACATGTGAACTCACTGATCAATTTTAACCTCATCAAAAATAAGACAAAATATATTCCTCTTAATGAGGTAAAATAAGACATCTTGCCAAAAAATATTGAACCTGAATCTAATTAATTATTAAGATCTAACTCCCAATTCAGAGAAAATTCAGGGAATAGAACAAATTTTAAAAGCAATTAAATATAAAATATGGATAATTCTTCAAGAGAGATTTACCTGGTTTCTCAACCAATAAAATGGCACTGAAAAAGGGGAAGTGAAACTCATAGATACTAAGTCTTCAGAGGTGTATGAATCAAATGTAAATAACGTTAAGAAATTTTGTTATTAAGTGATTATAAAATGTTTATGTAAAAATGTCTGAAGTGGATACAAGCAAGATGATATGATGTCTGTAATTTTCTTTAAAATACTCATGAGAAAGAAGGTGGATAACAAGTTTGTCAAAATGGCAGTAAGTCCTGGTTGGGTAGCTCAGATTGTTAGAGTATTGTCCCAATATGCCAAAGTTGCAGATTCGTTCTCCAGTTAGGGCACATACAAGAAGCAACCAATGAATGCATAAATACATGGAACAACAAATCAATGTTTCTCTCTCTCTCTCCCTCCTGCTCCCTTCTCTCTCTCTGAAATCTATAAATATAAAATTTGTAAAAGGCAGTTAGATACTTGGATACATGGCTATAGTATATTTTTTTTGTTATTTTCTCTACTTCTATGTCTAACATTTTCTATAATGTTCCTTTAAAGGTAAAATTATGCAATATTATAATCAGTGTGAAGTTAGTAATTTTTAAGTGAATTATTTTTTAAAATGCCTATATATCAGAACTTGTGGTTGTTTCCAAAGCTCTAAACACTGGGGTTAAACATGCTCTAATGTATTGGGGAAATTAAGAATGAGGGTCCAGATTTTAGTTAGTTAACCTATTGCTATATATATAAGTACTATAGTGCCTGTCCCATAGTACTTAATATGTTTAAAAAATGAGTAAAAGCAGTTACCACTAAATGTGGAGATTAGTGAAATAGATCTGCATTGTATAATAAGGTAGTTGCTAGCACTCTGACTGGGTGGCTCAGTTGGTTGAAGCGTCTTCTCATATTCCAAAAGATTCCAGGTTCTATTCCCAGTTAGGCAGATACCTAGGTTGTGGGTTTGATCTCTGATTGGGTGCATACAGTAAGCAACCAATGGGTGTTTCTAAGATCAATGTTTTTCTCTCCCTCTCTTTCGTCCCTCATTCCTCTCTTTCTAAAAATCAATAAAAATATACCCGAAAAAAACGATAGTTGCTATCATCATGTTGACCACTAGAATTTAAACTATTAAAAACTTGAAATGTGGCTATTTCAAATTAAAATAGTGTTAAGTGTAAAATACACATGGGTTTTGAAGACTTAGTTTTAAAAAAAGAATGTAATATATCCATTTCTCACAGCATTTCTTTGCTGTGTTTGGAAGCAATGATCTTCAGTGGATTGCGTCATTGTATAATACAGAATCCAGTTTAAGTGTTTTTCTGCTTTCAAGTAGCATGTTCACATATTGAGATCTTTTTGGTTCTACCCTGAGTCATTCTGGATTATTTTTTGTCCATGAAAGATGGCCTGTGGTTGCAGCTCAGTAGTTTTTTTCAGACTTTTTTTTAGCCAACGGTGCTTTCTCGTTTTGTATTGTTTCTATCTTGTTCAAGTTTGTAGTGCTTGAAGTAGTACAATTCTCTTAAAAACTCTTTTCTCTGAGTTTTGTTAGTGTTTATTCAGTTAGACAAAAGATGAATAGTATCTTCTCTGTATTGGGTTCAGTATGATGCTGCTATGAAAAATATGTGACATTATTAGAAGCCCTGCTGTTTCACAGAAAGGATGAAAGATAGCTTCATGTTTATCCTGAGACTGCATTTTCTTTTTTTTAAAATTGTTTTATTGCTTAAAGTATTACAAAGAGTATTACATATGTCTCTTTTTTCCCCAGCCCTTGACAATCCCCTGGCCTCCCCTACCCCCCAGTGTCTTATGTCCACTGGTTATGCTTATATGCATGCATACAGGTCCGTCGGTTGATCTCTTCCCCACTCTCTCCTGCACCCCCCCCTCCGCAACCCTCCCTGGCCTTCCCACTGCAGTTTGACAATCTGTTTGAGGCAGCTCTTATTAAATGTTATGTTTGGTGGATGTCACTTGGATTGGGTATCTTGCATGTGCTATTCA